TGCTGTGAAGTGGAGCCGGAAGCCCAAAAGGATCCCTGGGCAAAACCAGCCCCCTCATCGGGAGAAAAGGCCTCTCTGTCCCCACCTTAGTTCTGAGGGGCAGGCCCCACTGCTTAGGAAGCCAGCAGAGAAGGAAGAGCAGGAGACAGGGGGATGGCTCCTCCTCCTCCTCCTCCTCCTCCTCCTCCTGCCCCAGTTTGGTGTAGTGGTTAAGTGCGCGGACTCTAATCTGGGAGAACCGGGTTTGATTCCCCACTCCTCCTCCACTTGCACCTGGCTGGATGGCCTTGGGCAAGCCGTATTTCTGATAAGAGCTGTTCTTGAAAAAGAGCAGTTCTTGAAAGAGCTCTCTCAGCCCCACCTACCTCACAGGGTGTCTGTTGTGGGGAGGGGAAGGGAAAGGAGTTGTAAGAGATTGGATTTATACCCCGCCCTTCACTTGGAGTCTCAGAGCGGCTTACAAACTCCTTTCCCTTCCCCTCCCACAACAGAAAGACACCCTGTGAGGTGGGTGGGGCTGAGAGAGCTCTGACACAAACGGCTCTTTTTCAAGGACAGCTGTGCCAGAGCTTGTGACTGACCCAAGGTCACATCAGCAGGTGCAAGTGGAGGAGTGGGGGAATCAAACCCGGTTCTCCCAGATTAGAGTCCGCACACTTAACCACTACACCAAACTGGCTGAGTGTTTCTCTACCAAAATGCCAGCTCTTTTACGATTCACAGAAGCCGCTGCTCTCCCTGATCAGTCTTCACTGTTATCGCATACAACGTCATGTCCGTCAAGTCTCCTCTTTGCTTGAGCCCCAAAAGCACCAGATGCTTCCTTGTCTTGTTGGGAAGGGGCCCTGACCCTTCCATCATTTTAACTGTCCTTGTTTATTCATTTTGACTGCCCTCATTGGTACCTTGTCCACCTTTTGGATTGAGACAGCCAGAATTCCACACAGTAGTCTAAGTGTGACGGTGCTCTAGATGTCTATCATAGGGTTACTGGTACTGGCTGATCTTCCCTACGGGGAGAGGCCAAACAACAACTTAATTTGTAAATGGGCTGAAATTACCTTGACTGCTGCCGCTTATGAAACAAACAAACAACAAGAGCAGGTTGCTAAGCCAAACCCCTTCACCTGCCTCAGTGACGAAGCCTGGCATTCGTGGATGCAAATGACATGCGTGTTAAAAGACAGCGGCTGTGTCCTTGCAGAGGTTTTGCTCTGGTTCGGTGCACAGCGGGTGTTTTGGGAGAATCCCCACAACATTGCCCCCTCATCATCTGCTTTCCACTCTTTCTTTTTTTTTGCGTTGCTTTTAAAAAACTGGCAATTGACATATCACTGCAGCATTACAATGACCTGTCTAGTATCTCCTCTGAATCCTTGGCTTTCACTTTCCAAGGGTCTCTACCCCCTTTCCATTATTGAAAAGTGCCTTTCACCTTATATCTCCGCAACAAAAGGGGCTGTACACTTACTTGAAAATGGGGGTGCAGAGGTTCTACTACGTGGGGAGAGGTAGGCAGAAAGTGGACACCTGAGCGGCTGCCTCCCTCTCTCGCCAGCTGAAATGTCTTTCTCGGTGCTTCTGAAAGAAAGCTGTGCTTTCCTCTGCAGATAACAACATACTGATTGTGGTCATTCGAATGTTTGGCAATTGGCTTTAATTAAAAATGCGCAGAATGGATAGGCTTGCGGTGGCAGGAGGAGCCACACAGAACTCATGGAAGAAAGGGGAAAGAAGGCAGCGGGAACGGGGAGGGGGAAATGTCTCTGTCTTCCTCAGTCCTGGCCCCGTGCCCAGCAACTTTATGTTGGAACGTGGGAAATGGCCCTCATAGATCACCGCACACCCCTCTCCATGTCGTCTCTGAAAGAGCAGGGAGGCGTTGGCCTGTTTCTCTAGCCTCGCCTCCTGGCAACACAGCTGGCAGAGGAAAAGGTCACTCGAGGTCTGGAAAAGAGTGCTGGGGGTGTCCTCTTTCCGGTCCTGGTCCTGGCCCCAACCTGGTAGAACTCTCTCCTGAAGGACATTAGGACCCAGCGGAAACGGATGCAATTTCACAGGGCCCCATGATGTTCCGCCAGGTTTTCAGCCTAGGGCAGCAACGGGAAGCGAAGACTGGCCCCCTCTCTCCTTGTTCTTCTATGCCCCCCCCACGTGCCCTGCCCTGCCCTGCTGTGCGGGACAGTGGTGTGCCCAGCAAAGGAGGACTGCTTGATTGCCATCTTGACTGGTTCTAGATATCTGTTTTATTGGCAGTAGTTTGTTTATACATTACTGGTATTTTTAATCTCCATAATGTAAAGCGCTCAGAGCCTGTTTGCAGGGTGGGCAATTCATAAGTTTAATAAATTAAAATAAACAAATAAACAAGTGCTGGTCTTTAGTAGCAGAGCAACTTGAGCCAGGGCTGGTTCTTGCTTTCTGGGGGGCCCTGGGCAGGAAGCACCCCACACCCCCTCCCCTCCTCTGCCCACCGCCCTTCACCTGCCTGCCCCACACCCTGCCCGTGTGCTCCTCCTCCTCCACCGGCTCACGAGCCGTCACACCGGAGCCAGGCACTGTGCAACCAGCAGTTCTCCACAGCACCACCACCACCACCACACACCCCTCGCACAACCTTCCCCAGCTGTGCTGGGCAGCCCCTGTAGCCGAGGGCTTGCGTGGCGGGGGGCTCTCGTTTGTGGGTGGGTGGGAGTGTGGGGGTGAGGCAGAGGAGGGTGGATGGCAACGGGGCCCAAGGAGGAGACATGCACATGCCTGCCAGCTGCTCTGCCTCAGGGGAAGACAGCGCTGGCCCTGCTCAAGGTCAGAAGCACCTGAAACTGGGCTTGCCAGCCTGTCCAGGGGGTGGTGGAGATCTCCTGGGGGCACAGTGGGGCTCCAGGCAACAGGGACCAGTTCCCCTGGAGAAAATGGCCGCTTTGGAAGGTGGACTCTCCCCATGGCATTGGACCCCACTGAAGCCCCCCCTCTTTCCCAAACCCCGCCCCCTCAGGATCCACCCCCCAAATCTCCAGGCACCTCCTGGCCTGGAGCTGGCAACCCTACCCGAACAACCAACCACATTTCCTGGGGGCTAAGCTCCGGGTGGCGCAACCTGTGACTTTGTCAAGCTCACGTTTTGCTCCTGTCCGGCCGCTGCTTGGTGGAGACGTTGTTAGGAATAAAATAAAACTGGATGAACTTTGACTGAGCTGAGGTTTCAGCTCTGTGTGGGTGGCTGAGGAGCTGCCTGCTGATTTCACTGTCCTTGTCCCAACACTGGTTTAGGCAATTCCAACAAGGAGGATTTTAAGTGGCATTGGACCCCACTGAAGCCCCCCTCTCCTCAGGCTCCACCCCCCAAAACCTCCAGGCACCTCCAGGCCTGGAACTGGCAACCCTACCCGAACAACCAACCACATTTCCCGGGGGAGGGGTGAGCTCCGGGTGGCGCAAGCTGTGACTTTGTCAAGCTCATGTTTTCCTCCTGTCCTGCCGGTGCTTGGTGGAGATGTTGTTAGGAATCAAATAAAACCGGATGAACTTTGACTGAGCTGAGGTTTCAGCTCTGTGTGGGTGGCTGAGAAGCTGACTGCTGATTTCACTGTCCTTGTTCCAACACTGGTTTAGGCAATTCCAACGAGGATTTTAACGACTTCTGTATCCTGTGAGCAGGAACTCATTAGCCCAGCAGGAACTCATTAGCATAATAGGCCACACCCAACAGCAAAACTCATTAGCATATTAGGCCACACCCCTGACAGCACAGCTCATTGGAACATTAGGCCACACCCCCATTCTACCAGAAGTGTGGTCATGCAGCCACACCCACCTTTTGCTTGTTATTCTGTTTACCTTGTTTGTGGTCAAAACCCAGGGCCTTTTTTTGTAGCAGGAACGTCTTTGCATGTTAGGCCACACACCCCTAATGTAGCCAATCCTAATGGCTTCCTGCTGTTGGGTGTGGCCTATTATGCTAATGAGTTCCTGCTGGGCGTGGCCAACTCGGGAGCCGGCCGGAACTCCGTTCCTGTGCGTTCCTGCCCAAAAATAGCCCTGCCTGTGAGGCACCTTATAGGCACGGTGAAGGTCAAAAGGTGGGAAAGAAGTGTTCTGTATTTCCTTATTTAACTTTATTTATAGCCCCCCCTTTCTCCCCCGTGGAGGATGCCCAGGTGGCTCGCACCCTTCTCCTCACCTCACTGGTGTCCTCACAACAACAACCCTGGGAGGGAGGCCAGGCAGAGGGTGAGGGACTGGCCCAGGGTCACCCAGTGGACTCGTTTGGTTAAAACATTTATTAACCACCTTTCTTCCTCATGTCGCTCAAAGTGGTTCACGATATAAATAAAATACATAAAACAGAGTACATAAAAATATACACGTGAATCCAAAATTTAAGGTCACGGTTTAGGACAGCTTTAATCCAATCTGGCTCTCCCAGGTCCTGGTCTGAGACTCTAACGGCTACAACCAGTGTTCCCTCTAAGCTGAGTTAGTGCGAGCTAGCTCACAGTTTTTTAGCCTCTGGCTCACACATTTTTGCCTTGGCTCAGGAAGGAGGGCTCCAGAGCAAACTGATTTATGCAGTAGCCAAATGGCTTGCTCACAACTTGAATGCCAGTAGCTCACAAAGTAGAATTTTTGCTCACAGGACTCTATAGCATAGAGGGAGCATTGGCTACAACCCCCCCCCCCCGGGGTTTAATC